ATGTGTGTGTGAATTGAGATATCGGCCAGTGATACTCCAAGAATATTGGTACTTTTTTTTTCTTTCTTCAAGGAAACCGGGGAAATAATATAACGGAAATTTATAATTAAAAATTTGTTATCTATAAATCCAGTTATAAATTATGTAATTTATTTAAAAATTAAGATTGATATATTGTTTATAATATAAGTGTAAATTGATTAAATTATAAATGTACAATATACATGTATATATTGTATACCTATATATATATATTATATTATATATTAATGTTTTAATAGATTATTAAATATCAGCAAATAAGATCTAGCGTTTTGTTCGTAGCCCTTTTTATATATTATTTATAAATTTATAATATATAAATTGACTAAAAAGACTGTGGTATTTGCGTGGGAACTTGCGTGTATAGTTTCTCTCACTGTAAGTCAAGGAATAATTGCGAAAATAGTTCTTTAGAACGAAAATCATTGCCAATAGATATTGAAATATATATATTGTACAATAAGAAAAAAGATACTAAATCTTAATCATTTTTTTCAATAGTACTAACTAAACATTTGCTTACAATAAATATTTACCTACTCAATAAAAAATGATAGTTAAAAATTAACGGTTCTTGTACCAAATAAATATATATGTTTACATTTAGTAAATATGTAATTCTATTCAAAAAATATTTATTAAAATTTTAATTAAATTTTAGTACATTTTTCCGGTACGTGTAATAAAATGATCTCATCATTCTGATATATTTATACTTTACGTGCAATAACTTTGTATGGAAAAGTTACAAATATTCTCGACTTCAAACAGTGTCTGAATAACGATATAATCGATTATATTACTTAATATTCATTGCTTTATTCTGCTCTATTTATTTCTGCTGTATTTAAATCAAACAACTTGTCACTTCTTTAACTCATATCTTCCTACAACTGTTATAAATTGTTTTAAAATTTAATATCTTAATAGCATTTGTATTGCAAAATTAATCACAGTAAAAAATCCTATTTAATTTTCTGAATCGTTGTTTTATTCTGCAGAATATATGCAATAAAATGATACGTTGTTCAAACAACTCCAAGTATACGTAAATAATAGACCTTGTCTCTCGAACAAATAATCAAAATGATCAATTCCCGATGCTGTTTTTTGGATAGTTTAACCAAAGAGAAACTCAAGAGAGCAAAAATAATATCAAAACCACAAACAGGAATAACAAACTTTCGCTTTTTCTCTACTTTTATATTTTATCGGAATTCAGATTAGTTAATCAAATCAAATCAAATTATTCGATTATATACGCCTTAGCTTTGAACTTATAGCTTTGAAACTATTTCTGGTTCAAGCAGGAGATTCGAATTGTTAGACTATTGTAAAATTCTGAAAATGTAACTTGGTTATCTGCTGTTGAATTTTCAATAAACTTACGCAAAAAATAATTTCGAAACAGCTCTTTTTGAAGTTCGCGTGTAAAGGAAAAATGAGTATTGTATTTATTTATATTTTTAGATTCAACTGTGCGATATGTGTAATAATTGTATACTCATTTTCCTTTCAAGTTATAATTAAAGTAAACGTTAGTCAACTAACATGGCGCACGTTAATTATTATTTAAAATTTATTCGAAAAATATTTTGAATCTTAGTAAGAGCTATAGATTCTTTATTCGTTATACTTACCTAAGTGCCTAGCTTAAGTGCTGTCAAACATACAAATAAAAGAAACTATGCGTGCGTGCGTGCGCGCGCGCGCGCGCGCGTGTGTGTGTGTGTGTGTGTGTACACAATAAACATGAGCTCTGTGATTATTCTTTCAAAGGCCTGCTTTTTTATTGTTATTGTTAGAAGACTGAAACACAAAATAGGATAACTGCATGATAATCTTCCCTGAAAATAGAAATTTAAAATACGCAATGCTTTATACAATCTAAAAAATTTATATAAGTCACTATAGAATTCGTACAAAATCCAAATTAGATTAGAAATAGACGTATCAAACTTAAATTATCTCTATCTAATGTAAAATTGATGCGATATATTTCCTGAAATAATCGCTGAATGGAAAAACTCGGAAAAACAACGTCTGATATAATTTAATTAAATTTAAGTGAAATATTATTAATAGTAAACAAAATAATCAAGGAAGTTGCTCATCAGGAAAATCGCTCAAAGAAAAATACAATTTCTGATTAAGGGGCAGGACAGATAGAATTCATAGGTCAAATAGATATTTATTCCAAAATCATTGTGTCTGTGACAAAACATATACGTCCGTTGATGACGTAACGCGCATAACGTATACCCTCATTCATTCGCTCGCACTCACACTAATTATTTCCACATCATTTTCTCCCTCTTCTTGTTTCTTTTTTTTTTAGTAAACTTAATATTTATTAATAATATATCCTTTTTTATGCTTTTCTTATGCAGTAGATAATATTTCTTCTATCTTCGCCCCGTATGTTGCAGGTTCATACACATATAATTTGCGATGTTATTTAACTGTTGATTGTGTAAGTGTCTAATTACATGTCGCACGTGATATGGCCAAGCCACTATTATTTTAGCCATACGCCACGCAATTTCCCGCATAAATAAATTCAAGATCTACGCCGAGTAAACGACACAATTTTCCTTTCGATTTCAAGGAATATCTGTCGCAGATAAAAGTGCGCGTGATCCGAAAAGATTATCGTCGAAAGAGAAATAGTTGACTTTTCAACACTGGAATAATTTCGCTTGGATTCTTTGTAAAGAGAAAATTTCTCCATTTTTTAAATATTTCTTTTAATAAAAGCTGCGATTAAACGGTGGACATAACATTAAAATTTAAACGTAAACAACGTTTGCAATTTTAACTTAGCATATAAAAATACATCATAAAGATAACAATTTGGAAAAATTTAATATATTATTTCTATCGGAACAAACAATCAGCACAATCTTTCATTTCTATTAAAAAAAACTCTGATAAAATTGTTCAATAATTGTTACAAAAGATCTGTAACTCTGCCTGAACTGTAATTCTGCCTGAAAAAAGACAAAATTCCTATATGTGTGTGATTAAACAGAGATGACGCAAATTTCTTTCAACGTGGAGAAGTTAATTCTACAGATTGTTATGTGTCTTAAAACATTAATCATATTTTCTTGCTCATCAACAGTGCGTCTTTCTCTTCCTTTGATTTCTCGATCAAAGGTCCCCGCTAGCCAATTCATAACACTCCGATCACACTCGATTTCGTCGCGCGTCGCCCACGAGATCATTTTCCTGGGAAAACGGAAACGCTTCGCTCGTTCATTTCCCTCCTCGTCGTCAAGAGGTTCTTCTTCTCGCGATCATATGATCGTACGTCTCGTACGAGAAAATGAAAATCGTCCTGAAAACCATTCCGAGAAGTCTGTCGAACACGCGATGCTCTTATGAAAGTAAAACTCCTGTATACTGAACACATAACGCTAGGGTTTGGGAAAGTAACCCGCAAAAATTATTCATCAATATACTTTTTATTCATATTTTATTATTGTGTTCGGCTTATGATTTCGATATTGAAATTTCCCTTTTCAAAAATGGAATGACTAAAAGTACAAAATATCTCCAAACGTACAGTTTTGCTGCTGTTTTCAAGGCCAGGTCTTCGAGGAGAGCACATAGCTAACGTTATTGATAAAAAGATACGAAAACATACAACATACACATATTTATTCTAAATAACGTTCTCCCTAGTTCTTAAGCTCATTTTAGCTGAACTTTTTGTATGGTTCATCTCTTTCTTTTGTTTTCCTTCCTTCAATCTGGAGAAAAGAGGAAAGCTGAACCGTGCAAAAAGTACTAAAACTAAAAAGAACAAGCATTAGGCATGTTTCATCTTTCTCTTTTACTTTTCATGTTGGAGAGAAAAAGAGAAAAGATGAACTATACAAGAAGTTTGGCTAAAAAACAGATCTCTTATCTATATCTTTATTAATTTATAATGCGCTGGTTGTCGATCAACAACAGCATCGGTAAATGTGAGCCGGATTAGCGAACGCAAACGTCATATCTTTTCTCTTTCAAATCGGACGTCGAACTCCTCGACGATTTCAGAAGGATTTTTTTCACGGACAAATTCGATGACGATCATGTAGTTTACCGATATATCTTCAGAAAATGGCTAACTAATCCTTTAGTTAGATCAGCTAATTCACTGTTAAACAGCGTAAGATAACATAGTGCGTCTGTTCGTTGTACAAAGTGCGATATACAAATTCAAGAAAAATAATGAAAGTAAAAGTCTATAAAATAGTCTATTAAAAGCTATCCTTTAGATCGTAAAGAAAACGCGAGGAAGGATCAAATCCTCTTGCCGTTATCGCTCCGACTGGCTTCTAAGATATCGCGTAGTTGTAATTTAAACTTTGCAATTGCACCACGTAAAAGCGTGCGATCTCTACACTTTCCTGTAGCTATTGTTATTAATGTCTCTGAACGTCATTGTCGTGGTCGAACTCGTTGTGGTCAACCTCTCTGTCAATCAAGATTTAATTTCATGCCGATACAGTGTAATTGTTTATCATGAAGCCGCTTTCAATGTGGCCATCGTTTGCATGTTATTAAGCCTTTTTCCTTCAATCGGTATCGTAAGGCACATTTTTCTTTCTTTCGTCCCGAATCTCTCGAAATCGAGCCAAGTGGGCGTCTCGCGCGCGATCGAAATCGACGCAACTCGGGAGTACATTAATCAAACCGCCTCTTCCATTATACGAAGAAAAATAATTCGTCGTCGACAAGTATGCAGAGAACTGTCGTTATGACATCGAAGAAAAAAAATATGCTTTAGTTAATAATCCAAATTATTACTTAATAATACTTTAAATAATAATTCGAATTATTACTTAAGAATATTGTTCAAATTAATAATATAAACTATTTAGATCATTGACTACAGTTGATAAACCATATTGTCATTGTCATAATTCGAGATTAATAAAAATAAATCTGCAAATGACTGTGCAACATTTTTCTTCGCGATGCGAATCGACAAACTCTACGACTCGCTATCGCGTTACTGAACTTCACTTGCGTTTTCTATTTTCCGTAAAATGTTTACACAAATAATGGCGTGCCCAGACAATATAAAGTGTCCAAAATTGAGACATAAGACGTCTTTGGCTAAGAGTCTTAAAGACTTTATGTCTTAATTTTAGACAATTTTGTGTTGTCTGGGTATAAATCTTTTGAAATCATATACGAAACAAAAATATACGACTATATTTTTTATGTATGCAATATTTTCTCTTTCTCTCTTCTTCCTTCTTTTTCTCCCTGTTAGCGGCGGGAAACAACGTCAGGTATCGCAATAAATATGAAGAAGCTCGGTGACAACACGAAGCGTATGCTGCGTTATGCCAGCCAGTGGTAAAGGTTGCTCCAATTGATCGCTCATGCTTAACGACAGTCGCAGATCCTTCTGCATATGTTGTAACGGTAGCTGAGTAGGGAAACCGCCTTCAACAATCGCTGGAAAGCAGAATATTAGGAGTAATGTTAAATACGAATTTAATGCGTAGACTCTGTTAATTCTCAACTACTTTGTAGAAGCCAGAACAAGTAATCATTAGAGCAATTATATATTATTGCTAAAATAAAAATGATAAGACTTACGTAAAGAAAAATTATAAAGTTATTAGACATGTAACTTTTACTATCAAAATTGTTAGAAAACTACATATATTGTTATTGCATTGACTCGACTGAGGATTAATGCAAACGTGGATAAAATAAGTGGCCGAACAAATCGACATCTACCTTTGCCTTTTTCAAGAATTGCCGGACACGCTAAAGATGTCAACTCTAGGACTTCTAGAATATCTTTCTGCCGAAGTCCAGCGCGATCCGCTAGTGCCATGCTCTCGGCCAGAGCGGCCAGAGTGACACCAGCCATTAGTTGAAGTACAAGATTCATCTTGGAAGCATTGCCGACTTCGCCAAGGAAGAAGCTGTTTTTGCCCATTGCCTCGAAACAAGATTGGCATTCATCGAAGAGCGACCGATCTCCAGCAGCAAGAATGACCAAAGTACCTTCTTGCGCTTGAGTTTTACTTCCTTGTACCTGCGCTTCAAGATACCGACCACCTTTGCCGTTTATCGCCTCGGCGATATCTTGAGATGTCTCTGCATCAATGCCAGTCATTTCAACGTAGCTTTTATCGGGCGATATCTCCGTCAGAACACCACAATTACCAAAGACCATCTAAAAAAAGTTTCAACGTGATAAATATACAATGAAAACTGTTTTGAAGGATAAAATTACTTTTAAAGAATGACATTTGAATTTAACAAACACTTACATCCTTAGCAGCTTGAGGATCAGCCACGCAAGAGAATGTAATATCGGCAGCCAGAACGACATCAGACGGCGTCAATCCTTGCTTCGCTCCTGCTTTCACGAAATCTGTACACTGCAAAAAGAAATACATAACGTATGTACAAATTAATTTTATTGCTCTTTCGATTAGCCACATTTATATCTCACAATTTCAAAATACGCGGTTTATGAGAATTTTAGGATTGAAAACTTAGGTATTAAAATACTAAAATATAAAGATAAAGAATGAGGGATTAAAATACAATTTCATCCTAAATTTTAATATAGAAAAACGTTAAATATTCAAAAACTTGCTGTTTCCTTATGTTTATTAGCTGTAATAAAATGTACAAGTTTTTTTTCTAATATTTGTGTAGCAAACAATCTATATAAAATTAAAAAATGATGTATATGTATTGTATAATAAACACAATATATATAATTATAATATATGTGTATAATTAAATATATAAATTATATTTTAATATAAATATATACATTATATTTTAACATACACTGTGTATATTAAATTATCCATTACTTTTATGCACTATATATTAAAAATAATTTGTGTATACAATCGTGCGGGTAAAATTCAGTATCGTGGCGCCATCCAACGCGAGACGGCGCAATCATAATTAGTACCACTTGTTACCAAGAGATGGCGGCACCGCGCGGAGCCGCACGCCATCGCGTCATTCCATTCGTCGAACACGCTGCAACAAAAAACGTTTCTCGGCACACCGGCCACATCAGCAAACGACGCCATTGTTGCCGAGGCCGAGAGGCGAGTTTTCTCTGAATCTCCATGAATACCCGCGGAATTTCTCGCCGGAATTCCGACGAGAGGATTTCGCAGGAATTACAAGCGAGACGCATTCGCGAGAATTCCTGTGGAATCCTCACGATTAATGCTTCCAATTATCTCGATCGTGACGAACATGGCGGACGAGCCGTGTGCTAGCAATTTTATTCTGCATGGCTCGGACGCTTTCGAATTTTCTCGCATGCCTCCCACGATAAACTGGTTTAGGGTAAGGCTATCTATCACGTAGGCCATCTCCGAGGTAGCTTCTCATCGGGAACGAGGCCAACGAGACGACACAGCACGATTTGCCGCTTATCACGTCGACGAATTGTTCTCGTCACGTGGCCATTAACCGCTACGGACGCTACGGAGCTAACGGAGCATCTTTTTTCCTCCTCGAAATCGATGTGGAGTCTCTGCGACGAGCTCTCTCGTCGGCATCCTCAAAATTCACATGCTCGAACACTAGACAGGTGACAGTCGCGACTGCTTGTGAGCAGTGAGATTCTTCCAGCAATTTCGACGTTGACGACCGACGCCATTCGAACCGTTTCTCTCGCAACAGTCGCAACATGCACGCCGCACCATAATAGTCTGTTTTTTTTTTCTGCACTAAACTGCACTACAGCTTTCTTTTTCGCCAAATATCAAACATATATCTATTTTGCTTTAAGTTCTAAAAGTGTATATTAATTCAGCTACAGAAAACAGACTGCGTTCGGCAAAAAAAAAGTAGTTTTGCAACTGTTGTATAATTTAATATGATTTTTAGGTTGTACGTTTAGGTCCATTGAGGACTAAAGAAAGGCAAGATCATATTAAAAAATCTTATAAGTTACAAAGCTGCTTTTCTGCTGAAGCAACTAATATTGATGTTGCTAGATTTGAAAAAGGCCGATGCTCGACCTCGAGCCGCCACGAAATCAGTTGAATAGAGTGACTCAGAATACTCGAACATCTTTCTCGGAACCAAAATCAGATGAATGAATATACGAAGCACGTGGTACGTTTCCAACGATCCCTAATGACTCCCTACATTTACAAGGTTTCATCCTTCGATTTTAAATTTCTCGTTTCAAAGCCTTGAAATGACTACGCATGATTGGCGTGATTGAACACAAGAATGATATATTTTTTTCAACATAAAAAATTATTCAGTTTGAAGAAGAATTGATGATCCTATAAGCCCGAACAAGAATTTCTGTTGGGCTTTTTTATCTCGACTTCGAACGACAGAAATATCACATTCCTAGCTCATTCGTTTTCCGACTCTTACAGAAATCTAATACCGGCTAATATATACTAAAAGGCAATAATTATTTGTTTATTTTCAAAGTTGGGTAAATTATTTTACGAGTTACTTATAAGTTACTTTTTAAATTACCTTGTATGCATTTATTACAGAAATTGAGTACAATAAGTTCGAATATTTTCTTCTTTACATTATATTTTATCATTTGCTCCAATTTCATATTACTTTTAATCTTTATAACAACACAAATAAGGTAACATAAAAAGTAATTATAAGTAACTTAAAAAATAACTTGTTGTTCGGTACTTTTAGTCCACCAAATAAGTAATTACTGTCTTTCAATAATAAATTGGTCAGTATTAGATTTCTGTAAAGGGACTCAAGGGGAGCCGTCCAAGTGCGTGTTCCACGTATTTTCAACGTGCCTTCCAAGTCGCATAAGGTTCTCGAGCGTTCTCTTTCCGGTGACTCAGCCTGTATCAAATGCACGTGTGTTATATCGAACCCGATTCAGCGTTATATATCAAATAATATCGCGCAAATTGCACGTCAAATACCAGTTTCCTTCAAATCTTAGTTATATAATTTCGGAGCGAGATAAGACGCGCTGAACGATTTGTTTATCGCGTTACAAAGGCCTGACTGGTTCTTGTGTACACGTGGTAAGCAAACTCAGCAAACGTGTCCTATCTCATTCCCGATACAAAGCATTGTTACGGTAGAGAAAGAGAGAAAGAGATGACCGACGACTTTTGGCGACCGAAAAAACAGATGGTTCGTGTTGATTCTACAAGCTTACAACGTAAACATTCGTTCGATTAAGGACTAATGTCCATTTCTACTTTCTACCAATATAGATTACTTTAATATCAAGATTTAACTTACTCTTTTTCTAATTCTTGTACTCATTTTTATCAATGTAGTTTAATTTTAATCCTTCATGCACATTGGATTTTTTTTTATCCAGGCAAAATTTCTCTCAAATTTCTTGGCACAAGTTTCAATTTTTATTAAATAAAGATTTTAACATTTAAGTTAAATAACTATTTGGCAATGTAACAAAGATGTTGAAAAGTAATCCTGAATGTTTTTTAGATTTTTTTGAAAGCCTAGAACAAATAAAGAAATTTGAGCTGAACAAAAAAGACCCCCAGTACCTACGAAATAAATAAAAATATGTGTGCCTACAAAGAGTACTAGTGCAGATTAAAGTTAATCTACATTTTTAAATTAACTTTAATCTCGACTTAACTAATTCTTCATCTCTTTCTGATTTTAAGTATTAAAAAGAAATGAAGAATAAGTTGAACCAAGAGATTAAAATTAATTTTATACATTGGTGAAAATATAATGGAGATTCTTATTCTATAATTCTTAATGATGTTATCATTGAATAATTAATAGTTAATAAAGAACTTTTCTTATTGCAGTAATAAAATGCAGTAACAAAATTGTCATAAAATTAATAACAGCTGAAGAGACGTTGAATTAACAATTTTATTACCATTTTGTTATTAATGAATAACAATTACCATTTATAGAAAAGGAAAAGTTGTTCACTGACGACTTGTTCAATCATCTGGTAATATCATTAAGAATTACAGACAGAAGGCAGAATATATTCGACACGCGATGTGAACAAGCCTCTTCAAAGCCACGTTAACTTCATGCACTTTCGGGAGTGAGTTCCTCTTCCTTGTCAGTTAGTTGTGAAGTAACATCCCCGTCGTCACGGTCTACTTAGAGAGTTACGTGTAACGTACATACGCGTTCGGTATTCTCGCAGATCTCAGTGCGCAGAAATAACGAAAGACGAATTTTAATCATCTTCTCAAAAAGAAAAGAATTTCTTATAACGAGACAAAAAATATTTTTGACGTACTTAATCTTATCACAACTTTTTGCAGTATAAAAATAAAATAATATTAATCTTAGATTAATAATTCCGATTCTCCTTCGAATTAAATGAGAATGACTTTATTGTTTTGAGACAAAGATAATACGTATAAATTTATATGTTCTTACGTTTAGAATAAGTCTTTACCCAACATTATAAACTACAACAATGCTGGTGCCATAGTATTTGGCATGAAATGTTCAAGATCATTTCATTCTAGATTTAAAAATTTTCCATTTAAGAGTAAAATATTCTTCTGTAGACAATAAATATGATTGTATATTATATTAATCTTATTTTACAATAGATTGAAGAGTAATAGCATTGGATTTGGAAAACTTTTTCGTGGATATTCGAGCGGAAATGCGAGCTCGACCGACTAGTGTCTATTTCTATCACGATGTAGATTAACTTTAATCTCAGTTTAACTTACTTCTTATCTGTTTCTAGTTCTAAAAATATAAAACATAAAGAATAAATCAAACCGAGATTAAAGTTAAAAATGAACATTATAGTCCTTTTATCGTCAAAATTGTTTCTCAATAATGAATGAAAACTAAACATTTTGTTTTCAATCTAATCAGCAGTTATAACATAAATAAAAGAATATTTATTATCTCGAAGAATTTATGGAGAAATTTCTCGGATTATTACAATTATTATAATTATAATTTGATGATTGTAATCATGAACCAATACTAATTATCGTTAAAAATTATGTAAAGGATTACGTCGACTTCAGTTCGACGTGAAATTGCAAAAGGTTAATAAATGCTTCTAAAAATTATAAAAGCTTCTGAATAACGATTCTCAACGTATTCATCGGTGTGAGAAATTGAATTGTAAGTGGAAACTAGAAAGAGAGAAAAGATTACAAATTGTAGTCTGTAAGATCGTGGACGGCCACAAAGAAAATCTGATAATAGTTATTAAACGTTGAACAAAATAATTTCAATCAAATATTCTGTTAATATAATCACAAATAATTTTACTTTTCTATATATATATTTAATGAATATCAAACACAATAATAAATAATGTAGCATAAATATAATATATATAATGATGTAATAATAACATAATAAAAAAAAATACAATATAATTAAAGCATTTAGATCTGCTTCAACCGAAAATAGG